TAACACTAATTCTGTTGTTGAGATTAAGGAAAGACAGACAGATGATAGTGGGAATTTAAAGGTCTACAATTTTTTTAAAATTGCAGCCCAATTAATAAATAATTAAAGATGAAAAAACAAAATTTACTAAAAAGTTACAAGTTTATTGTGTTATTAATAACTATGGATAATGATAAAGTATCAGTCTCATTTATTATGAACTATAAATACTAATTGTTATATATAAAATTACTTTCATTTTATGCGAATCAGCTTGCATGTTAATGGGATAGCATGTTAATAGCAGTAATTGCAAACATTAGAAAATTGTAAACAAGATTTTCTTTGTAAATAAATCAATTATAACAAATTATTTTTTAAAATGTGACTATTTGCAATTCCATCTTATGCAATAAATTAATAAATCGAAACAATTTACTTCTAGATGTCATTCATTAATCCTTTTTTAATTCATAATTTTAAAAAAAATTTGAAAAAAACATCCACAAGAAAATTTTTAATAGCAATATCTTAAATCTAAAAGAAATGTTAAATAAAACATTATTATTTATTACTAACTATTAATTAGTTGAAAAACATTTTCAGATTCAATAACTCAAAAATAACATCTCAAAAATTGAGTTTTTATGTAATAAATAATTACATTATTTTATAGAAGGCTGTTTAAAGTACAGCTTACTACAAATGAAAACAAGATAATTTGATAAATAATTTACAAAAAGAAGTTTCTTTTCAGATATTCAAAAAATACTTATTTAAGGAAATTACAACACAATATTTATCTAAAACAATAAATGAAATTAAGAGAAATTAATATTAACTATTAAAATGTATATCAAAATCAGCCAATGCCAATATGCATTGCAGTAATTAATAGCAAGGTTGCAGCCAAAGTTTTCATCTCTAAAGCGTGGATATCGAATGTCGAGCACCATCTTGTAAGTGGTGCTCGATGTTTGACATTCACATTTTAGAGATGAAAACTTTGGCCACAACCTTGCTAATACTAAATCTTCATCTTCACCGATTAAATATTTTTAATATGTAACAATTAATCCAAACATTCAATCAGTAAAGGAAATTAAGCATAGCAGCACTAGCCAATGCCACTATGATTAATTATATCTCCCATTGATCTATTTATGTATGTAACATTGATACCAATCAATAAAGGGATAAAAATAGCAATAAAACTTAATTTATAGCTTAAAAATAAATTCAAATTATTAATAAATATAGATAAGATGTATCGGATTCGGTAGGTGTTACTTTTAGTTAATTTACCTATATACAAATACGTAAAAAGTTACCTAAAAGTAACTCCTACCATATATTTTTATATTTACATTTAAAAACCTTCAAATATGCTTTTTACCTTCGATCATTCCTCTGTTAGTCAAATTAAGCTGCCCGCTTTTCCTCGCTTGTTTAATAATTTGAATATGAACAGTTTGTTCCTTGCTTTGAGGATGAAAACAAGCGCTAACATTTTCAGCTTTCGATCTGTTCCCTCCGAATGCTTTTCTTCTCGGAATACCCGACATCTTGTACGATTTACGTTTATAGAAAATTTTATTACACTTTATATTATCATACCACCATCATTCAAAAAATTATAATATAGGTTAATATAGCAAAACAAACGACGATCAAGGATAGCGCGGTATTGAACTTGTTACTGATTAGCACGCCATCACGACCCAGTGTTTACGTAATTGTTTTTGATCTCAGCGTGAAGCTCGATTATATAAAATTAACTTTATTATTTTACTATAAATATGTTAATATTACGTAAATTAATTTAGTTCAAATTTCAATAATAGAGGTAGTAAATTGAAATTTTTATAATTAATAATAATTTTCTTATATGTTAAATTAGTTATAATATAATATAATGTCTAACTTTTAAATTTTTTAATTAAAATTTATATATTGTTTTAAATTTGTTGTAATTTAAATTATAAAAATAAAAATTTTAAAAATTTAGTAAACATAATGAAAGTGGCAACACTGTCGCTTTCAGCAAACAGAAAATAAGTGTCGAGTTTGGTGGAAGGTAAGAGTTTTGACTTATAGAAATAGCTTTTGTAATAGAGAATAATGAATTATAATGTAATTTAATAACATTTAGATTTAAGTCATGCACAATGCATTAACAATTTTATAAAAATCATAATGTTTAAACACTTGTTTTCTGACTAGATTAATACTTCAAAGTAAACAATTCCCATTTCAAAGATTCACATTACATTAAAGATTATAAATCATATACACACAGTTGTTTGAGTTAACAGTCGCATCTTTATAAGCTTATTTAGCTTCGTGTAAATGAAGAAACTAAAAGAATCCATTATAAACAATCGAGTAACTTCAAATAGCTTATAAATTTAATAAATAATGAAATACATTAATTAAAACATTTTTAAATTGTAATTCGTGAATTAACTGCAGAAAAATTTATTTTATACAACTGAATTCGTGTTTTTTTTATTTTAAATATCAGTAGTAAATTTATTTACTGTTATATTTTTATTATAAATCACCAAATGATGCCTAAATATCGGGCTATAATAAGGCTAATTAAATGATTGGTATAAAGTAATTTGACACTAGAGGTAGATTATTATTAAATAAATTTAGAACCTTCTGGAATAAAAAGTTTGGTGATTTATTGTATACTACTCGGGCTTTGAGATGTTATTATTTATATACGGTGTGGAGATGGTCTTAGGCTGTGGGCGAAGGAGTCGTCCTCAGTCAGTGCCGTATTTAACCAAGTAAGGTTATATCTAATGTAATATACTTCTGGAAGCGAAGATTCGCTCGGGGTCCGGGTGGTGTAACTGGCAAGTGCACCGCACGGCAAGCAGAGGTTGCGGGTTCGAGCCCCGTCCCAGGCCAGTTTTTATTCCAGAAGGTTCTAAATTTATTTAATAATAATTATTAATTTACTTAAGAGATGGTGCCTAACGTCTACCTCTAGTGTCAAATTAATTTATACCAATCATTTAATTAGCCTTATTATAGCCCGATATTTAGGCGATTGTTTGGTGATTTATTGTATACTATGTGGGCTTTGAGATGTTGTCATCTAATGTACTTTTATCTTTCCTCAACAACATTATAATTATACAACTTTAAATAAAGACTTGCTGTATATCAACAACTCATAGCCCGAGTAGTAAATACATCACCAAATTATTAATTTACTTAAGAGATGGTGCCTAACGTCTACCTCTAGTGTCAAATTATTTTATACCATTCATTTAATTAGCCTTATTATAGCCCGATATTTAGGCGATTGTTTGGTGATTTATTGTATACTATTTGGGCTTTGAGATGTTATTATTTATATATTTTTATTAGTCTACAACATAACAAATTCTGTATTTATAAATTTAATCTTTTTAACACTTGTAATGGACTCAATTCAAGTTCTGAATGAGATAGTTGAAACCTTATCATAGAGCATACCCATAGGAGTGAAAAAGTCAAAGGAATCGTATCTATATGAGCAACCTTTTGCGAGATATGGCCCCAAAATCGGGTCACTTGAGATCGTGAGTTGCATCACTCCAATAAGACTCAGGTTTAACTATTTAGCCTACGTGGCTATGCTGGCTTTGAGTAGCACACTTGACTGTTTCGGGAGTATTCAGTGTTATATGGTTTTAGGGGTGGGCTTGCCTGCAGCCAAGCACTTTGGTTGTCAATATAAATTTTTTTTTTTTTTTTTTGTGAAACCAGGTAAAAAAGCAATTAGCAGAATCATGTTTATTCTACACATACAGTATAATGTGAGGAAGACACAATTAAATTGACAGGTAATCTTGAGGTACAGAGCTCTCAGCCTTTCATGTAAATTTCATGTTTGTTGCCTGCCACCTTTTTGGTATAGCAATTTTAACAGCCAGCATTGTAATATACCATATTCCTGCAGAATATAAACATCAACTTCAGACAGACAAATTTCAAAAATTGAGTGAATAATCCTTTCTCCACAAACTCCTATCACAACAAATTCTCAAATTGAGACTAATTTGATATTAGTGGGTAATATTAAACACTGTTATTCTTTGATTTGTGCAAAATTTTTCTATCCAATCATGTCTACAAAATTTCATAAGTGACATAATAGAGCACAAAAGGTATGTGAGAATGAAAAGTGACACACATGCGAAATAACCTACAAGTACCTATTTTATAATTCTTTGATCATAAATGGTTGAATTCAACAAATTTAATCTACTAGTGATTTCTCATATTGTTATTTGGCAGTTTGCTCCAATCAATACTTTTATTTTGTGTTCATCTGCTTCAACTGGCCTTCCAGAATGTGGTGCATCTTCAAAATCAAAATTGCTGGAACAAAATTTTGCAAACCAGTTTGGCATTGTTATTCTGTCAACACATCATCTCCATACACATCACACAATTTTTTTCCTTGCTTGAACAGCATTCTTACCTTCTCGGTAATAAAAAAGCAAAATATGCCAAAAATGCTGCTTTCAATTTTCCATATTTGATGAGATACCAAAACAAACACAACTGCAAAGAAGCAAACAAAATTTTTTACAAATATGCCTTGAAATGTCAACTGTCAAAATATATAATGACAATATGATTTAGAATGAAATTGGCAGGTAAAAATACAACTAATCCCTGTGGTTGTAAAAGAATGAAATTACTTTCTGAACAACCCAATATAATTAAATATTGCCAGATTTATCCAAAATATAAAACTATAAATTATTTTATAGTTTTATTTGGGCCATAACAGTCTGCATTAATGTAGCAATATTTGATTATATATGTTATCAATGTATATTTTGCTCAAATTAAAACCAAAACTTATAGAACTGAGACTTTTGTTTTTGACAAAAGATATGTAATTTTAATTTTTATGAATTTTAAAGAAAAAATTAAGATTTAATAAAATTTATAAGACATAATAGAAACATTTATAAAATTTAGTGCTTTTTCTAAAACTTTTTGTTTTAATTTCAGAATAATTATGGGAAGACGACGCAGCAAAAGAAAACCACCTCAAAAACGGAAAGCAATTGAACCACTTGAAACTCAATTTAATTGCCCATTTTGTAACCATGAAAAATCTTGTGAAGTGAAAATGTAAGAAAAATAACTTTTCTGCTTAAAGTAGATTTATGTTCTTTATAATTACTTTGTATTTATTCCATGATTTAAATACAGAAAAATTTTCTTTTGAAAATAATGAGTATTATTATATTTTGAATAAATATTCTTGAACATAAATTAACAGACTGATATTACAATTATGACAGTAAATACAATATTAGCACTGCAGTATTAATTTATTTCATTTTGCTTTGATCAATATGATTTCATTTGAGTTCATTTTTTTATGCTTGGTTACCTTGACTTCTTCAGTTGATAGTATTTTCTTTCCTTTGCTGATAATCCTGTTTTATTATGTTTAACAACTTTTTATTGACATTTGTAGGTGTTAGGGTTTTTTTATAAAGTTAAAAAATTGTATCTATAAATATTATTTTAATATTATCATCACATTGAAAATATGAAAATTTATCATTAATTTTATATGGCAATAATTAGAGATATAAATGATATTATCTATATGAACAGAATATAACCAGTTACAATATAATTTCTAATTTCATGTAGGTTTGAAATTGTTATTATTTACATTAAGTAGAAGTTTTATTTTCTATAAAATTTCTATTTAGGGATAGACAAAGAAATACAGGAAGAATTACATGCAGAGTTTGTCTTGAAGATTTTCAAACATCTATTAACTGTATCCTTTGTTAGTTTGATCAAATTAAATTCTATGAAATTTATTTTATAATTATAATATATTAAATTGTTTTAAAAATATTTTATACTAAAGTTTTTTAACAATAAATATGGAATTAATAATTTATAACTCATAATTAAGCATGACTATTGATTAAATTTAATACAGTAGATCCCCTATAACACGGTAGATACGTTTCCTGTTATATGAATTCTGTGTTGTACGCGTCACTTAAATACATGAGCCAATCACAGGCCAGCATGTGTGCAGTTTAGCGGCTACGTCTGTTTGAAAGATTTTCTTCCATAAAATTAACCGATTCTAGACTAATTTGACTCAAAATTTCCAAATCATGTATAATTTTTTTGGGAATAATCCATTTAAACTATGCTATAAACAAAAAATTGTAGGATTGCTTACCAAGTGCACACCGTTCGAAGACGCCATTGCTTAAACTTGTTTTCGTCACAGAGCGGCTTATCGAACAGTGGGCATGTGTTTCCTGATAAATTATTTTTCTGTGAAAAATTCACTTAACTTTGGAGACATCATTAATATAAATATAATTTTTATGGCCGTTAAATAATAAATGGTTTTTAGTAGGTCCGCTATCGTTTAAACTGAACAGTTTGTGCAATATCCGCTATTGGTCCAGATTCGACCAATCCTGTTGCGATACGAGCCGGCGATGACGTTTTACTGTGTTATACAAGTCTCTTTTTGCATGTTATACGAACACAATTACAATTTTTTCATCGTGTTACATGAACCCGTGTTATAGGGGGATCTACTGTAATTATATATAAGATAGAAAATCAACTGTAATATCAGATCAATTGGAAATTCATTGCTGCAAAGAAGAGTGTTTGCAAAAATTAGGGTAATCATTTAAAAAATTTTTTTTAGCTGTTTGTTCAAAATATAAACTTGTAAAAGAGGTGTAACAAAACTCTGTTCTGAGTGTATGTAAATTAAAAAAGGTTTTTAAAAATGTCAAAGAAAATCAATATAAAGAGGATCCAAGTTGAAACTTGTACAAAACAGCCTACGAATTTTGACTTGGATCCTCTATAAAGCAGACACTCAAAAATATGGCAAAAGTTTGATGATGATGATGATGATGGACCATCTGAGTGCACTATTAGAAATTGGTTAGCTCAGTTCTGATCTGTAGATTAAAGCACTGAATATCTTCTGTGCTTTAATCTACAGATCAGGACTGACAATCTCCTATTGTTATACAGTCTGGATAATCACAAGAGACTGATATTGTGAGGCAACTGGTTGCCAAAGATGTCTGGATCACACACAATGTGATAACTACAGAGATAGCCTGAGCTTTGTTCTGTCAGTGGTGTGAACACTGAAGCAGCAGGGCCACATGTTGTGACTGAGCAGAACAAGTGTGACCATATTTCCAAATGTTCATCATTGTAGAATTGATATTAGAACTGTTCCTTTGATTACCTTGTGATATGGATCAAGAAATGGATTGAAATCTGCTTGAACTGAAATCCATAAAAAATGAAATATCTCCAAACTGTCTAAATAACAAATGATACAGTAGCATCCAGCAATTTGATTAATAACAACAAAAAAACAAAGTTATTAATGATTTTTAAATTGTCATTATCACGTTAAAGTAGCAGTTGAACATATGTAAAAAATTTAGTCAATTGCTGATATTGTTTCATTATTTATAATTCAGTTTTTTTAAGTAGTAAACTGACTAAGCACTTTCAGACTTTTCATCTATCTTCAGAATACAACAAAAAACATACCTTTATTATTACCTTTATTACCAAAATGTTATTATTTAGTAAATTTCATTGCTGGAATTTTTAAAGGTGTGTTTTTTTGTTGTAATCTATATATCCAGTTGATACAAAAAATATATGGATATCGTCAGAATCTTTATCACTCAAAAAACAATCTTTTTGAATTCCCATTCAAACTTATCTTCTCATTTGGAATGCACATGCCACAGTTTAAATTTAAATTCAACATCTTTTCATTCTAGAACAATATTCATTTAATTCTTTGCTACATTCTTCCATTCATTCCTCCACTGCTATTCTTTACCATCCATTTCAGGCAGTTGACAAAGTACAATTTACATCTTTGATATTAATAACTTCCTTAGCTAAATTTTCTATATAAATCTTTAATTTTTCAATCATCTGGTCTTTTTTCCTATTTTTCCTCAGATGTTTTTACTCAGTTTAGTATTGATTAGCAAAACATAGTGGTCTGGTATTTTTTCTACCCTCTCTCTCTCTCTTTCCCATATATTCCATTGCAAATTTTTCACAATCCTCTCTATTTCCTCCAAATGATACTACCAACATCTAAATTAAGTATCTCCTTTCTCAAATCCTTTTCTCGATGTCAACACTGCTCTTTGCACTAGAGCTATACATACCACTTTAACACTGACTTGGATCATAAGACATGCTTGATATATAAATGGGTTTTGTACATGTCTTTATGGTAAATGGATATCTCATATTCTTCATCCTCTTTTTTAATCATAACATCCAAGAAGTGAACCAATATTTTTTCTCTCTGTTCTTCAGAGTGTCCACCCCAAACTAACATTAAACAATACCTTGTAAATTGTGTAATCTCTAAATAACCAAAACATTATCAATGTATTTTGCAAGAAATTCAGTATGCTCACTTAGTTCTTCAACAATTCCTGTCTGCTTTTTTGCACTATTAGCTTTGCTAAAAATCTGGCTAACAGAAAACCAATAGGGAGCCCATATCTTTGCTTATGAAACTGACCTTTAAAAAACAAAATATTCTTCATATATCAACAAGTCTACTACTTCTGACAAAGCCTTAAATTTCTGAAACTGGTTGCATTGTAATATGATTCCTAAATTCTAAGAATGCTGCTTGCTGGCATATGGATGGATATAATGCTTAAAAATCAAAGTTGGATAATACATGTCCTAGTTGAGGTTTGACTTACATTAACTTCTGATTTTATGTACTTTTTCTCTTTTGCCAACATGATTTTGTTAGCATACATACTGTTTACTTTATCTAAAAAAAATTAGTATTGATACTAAATGGATAATTACAACTGTTTTGTTAAAAATTAATTTTAAGTGATAGCATTCAAAACGAATGGAAATAAATTGTCTGTTTTTACTATTAAAGAAATCTTAATTCTCAGAAAAATCAAGATTATAAATGAGATGAATTTATGATTGAAAAGAATTTTTAAGTTTATCAAAAAACAATTTGTATTTGTAAAAATGAAAAATTTATTATTAATAATTTATTAAAAATTATATCTAATATATAATCGAGACGGGTTGATGATAATGATAATAATAATAATAAGCGCAGAGCCCAAATGGTTAGGAGTTGAAAGTTGAAATTTGGTACACAGATACGGTACGTCATGAAAACACACACTAAGAAGGGATTTTTCGAAATTTCCCCCCAGGGGGAGAGAGACAGGATTAAAACTTCTATATACATTATGGATACGAGCCCAAACGGTTAGGAGTTGAAAGTTGAAATTTGGTACACAGTTAGGGTACGTTAGGAGAACGCACACTAAGAAGGGATTTTTCGAAATTCCTCCCCCGGGGGAGAGGGACAGGATTAAGGCTTAACACTTCCATCAACAATGGAAGTTTTAAGTAACAATGGAAGTGTCAACAATGGAATTGTTAAGAGAAAGCGATGTGCAATACGCAGATGCAGTTTTTTTCGTTTTTGCGGGAAATCGAACATATTTTTAGACCCATCTAAAAATTCTCTAAGGGGACCCAATTCTTGCATTCTGTGAAAACGGGTAAGGTTGACTGTAACGTAATAATCTTTATCTTAGTTATCGTTACTTTTGCCCGAGCAACACCAGGCCCACCTGCTAGTTATATAATATTATCAATACAATTTATAGAATATTGCATTTACAGAATATAATATAATATAATATTGTCATGACCCATGAAACAACAATATTCAAATGAACAAAAATAAAGTTTATTTAATAAATTAAACATACATAATTTCAGAAAAAACAAAACTTGGAATGCTTATCAAAACCTTGCTATCAAGAGAGGCTTAGAATGGAATAGTTCCATTTCACAAGTATTCTTTTATTCAAATAGTTTTAAAGATAAGCATGATTTTCTCTCATTGGACCATGGAATTTTTCTTGGCTTAACCAATAAAAATTCACTTAAAAAAATAAGAAATATATATTCTACTATAAAGAATTTTTTTTAATGTTTTTTAAATTTATTTCCATATGAATTTAAAATAGATTTTAAAACTAAAGAATGATATTGTAAATAATAAAAATATTTATTAACATTCAAACGTTTTGAAAAACTTAATATTTAATAATATCAATATGAACAAAATATTTGTAAAAAAAATTTTCACTGAAACTTTAATTTTTAAAATTTTATAATAGTCTTTTATTATAATTTATTAAGTTATTTATTTCTTTAACATTATTTTAAGATCTGTCAGAAGCAATTGATGTGTATAGCGATTGGATAGATGCTTGTGAAAGTGCCAATCAATGATACATCTTCATCTTCAGTTTCTATATTTTTTGTTATAATCATCAAGTTTCATTTCTCATTTTCATACAATTCTTTTTCATGATATTTTTACTTTGTGTAAAAATTTAGTTAAAAGTTTGTATCAAATATTAAAAAGTATTTGTATTTGCATTGCAATGAAAATACTAAATATAAATTAAATATGAAAAAATATAAATTAATGATAATGTTTTATCTTTTCTTGATATAAATTTAACATCATATTGTCCATGACTATTTTTAATTGTAAATGATTATTATTATTATTACTACTATCAAAAGTTCATACAGTGAAGACTTGTAAATTTTGTATATAAGTGTATTTCTTCTGAAATAAATTTTATATTTACATTGAAAATACAATTTCAGCTGGTTAAATAATTTTGTCATTAATTTTTAAAGTATAATAATTTTATAATCTGATAAAGATAGCATGAACTTGTGTATTTGATTAATATTCTTCATTGCTGACAACTGCCCATTAACAGATAAACTACAATATTTAGTGAAGTTTTATAACAATGGTCAATGAATGTGTTAAGTTTATAAACCCTAATTTCAAGAATTTTGATTTGTCTAAGATTAAACACCACACTATACTAATTAGAATAAAACAAAAAAATTATATTCTTTTGAAAATAATAGTAATAATAATATTCATTTAACAACTAAATATATCATCAACAACTAAATAAATCATCATACACCTGATGCTGAGAAATATTTATTAAACAAGCATTAACATTTTCGACCCAATATGATAGGCCATCTTCAGATGCAACCAAAATTTGAATGTATTTGAACTTAAAACATTTAAATGGCAGAACATTTGAACACTTTTACATTTAAATTTAAAACAAAATACTAGATAAATTAACAAATAAAGAATAAAATAAAATAAAATATACTAAATGAACTAATACAATAATGATGTAAATAATATAATAAAATAACAAATAACATATGTAAAATAAAATAAAAATAGAGAGACATTTTTGTGTATTTATTTCATTTAAGTATAAGAGCAAGTGTGGGCTAAAAATTTTGGTTTTAGTTTTTCTTTTATGTAGAATTTCCATGCGGAAGCTAGTCCATCTGCATCCCTGGCCTTAATACAATCATCCTTTAATTTAATTTTATAGATTTCAATTTTTTCTTCATGCATTGCTAATGATGGGGAATGCACAGCCCTCAGGATAGTCACTTCCATTCCATTTAACTAGAGTCCTCTGCTTGTGCCATACAGGATAATACTGTGTTGCAGTGCCCTTTATTAATGTCATATTTGAGCTCTTTAATTCTGATAGCTAAATTCCTTCTTGTGACCTCAATATAGTCCCTAATTCCTGATTTTTGAATGGAATTTTCCTGCTTTTTTTCTTTTTTTAATCATGTCTTTATCATTTCTTAAAATACTGTATAAATTAGGCACTCTTTTGAAAATTAGGTTTGAGTGTTTTGTCCGACACTTCTTTCATGATGTTTTGATTATAAGTGAACTTGGAGATTTTAAACTGATTTGTTTGGGTTCTTATTCTATTGCCTCCTTTATATCTTTTAATTAGTCCCTCTTTTTTATATCCCAGGTTTGAAGCTGTTAATTTCTTTGATCCTGTCCAACACACTAGAGCAATATGAATATGCTCTTCTAATGAGTGCATGAAAGATGGACAGTTTGTATCCATAGGGGTCATTAGAGTTAACCAGAATGTAGAGTGGACTATGTGTTGGTTTTATGTATATACCTGTTGTTATACCATCTCCTTTCAATTAGATGTTTATATCTAAAAAAATATATCTGTTCATGACTTTTTTGCTCTAGTTTAAGTTTTAATCCATTGTTGTTGCTATTGTTGATTACCTGTACAAACTCTTGTATTCTCTTGTCCTTTTTCCAAATAATGCACATATCGTCCACATACCTTTTGTAAAATACAATATCCATCCTGAACCTATTGATAATGCTCTTTTCCAAGTTGCATACGACTAGTTCACACAATAATCTTGACATCGGGCTTCCCATAGGTATCCCCTTTCTTATGTCTGTAGGACTCGTAGCATATCAATTTGGCTAATTCTATTACATCTTTCATAAATGCAGCAACATCCGGCCTTTTGTGAAGCATAAATTCCATTAATGCTTCCTAGCAGGATTCTATTTTTATAGATGAGTATAGGTTTTCATAATCCATAATCATCCCAACTTCTTCATCCAGTAAACTTAATTCTTGTAGTTCTTTTACTACATTTGTTGTGCAACAAGGGCATTGTTACCTATCTCATCTGAAATAAATCTATGTAAACATTTTTCAAGAATGTATGTGGGTCCTCTGCATTTCTCAACCACAGGTCTAACTTCTTTACCTTCTTTATATATTTTTGCAAATGCAAACAATCTCGGCATCCCTGGCTTCAGGTAATGAGATCCTTTAAGGAAAGTTAATATGGAGCTTAATGGTGCTCTTTCAAGTTTTTAACCCTTCTGTCTATCTTCATAACAATTTTTTCATTGACCCACTCACATTCTGTTCTTTTAATGTAATCTTCTAAGGATTTGTTGTAATTTTGTCTTTTCATGATGACTAGGTGTTTACTTTTGTCAGCTTTTGTTAGGACCAAATCATTGTCATTCAACCATTGTTTTGCGTGCTTCAGCTGTTTCATTTCAATGCTTTTTGTTCTGTGGATATGATCTTTAAGAATAGTCTTCCATCTGAAGAAATCCCTTTCTAAATCATTGAATTCTGAGAATCCTCTTTCCAGTTCTGCCATTGAAGTTTGCCATATGTTTTTATCTTCTGGAACACCATTATTACATGGAGCATTAGCATCAATATATTCAAAAATTGATAAGTAATTCCATGTTTACTATTCTCAGAAAACAATGAAGCAATAAACTAATAAACTTTAATATATTGAATAAAATAAAAACTGGAATTGAATTGTCCATGAATATAGCAATGGGAATAAATTTGAATAAATACTTTAAAATCTTTTCTTTCGTGGAACATTCGAGGTAGGTTTGCAGAACACCTGTGTACTGTGGAACAATGGTTAAGACCCACTGATGTATATATATATATGAGTAAATATGAATATATATATATTTATTTATTTATTTTAATTACCAATATTACTCAAAGTATTTATTCTTTATAAATATTAGTTCTAGAATCATATTTTTAACTTATTATTCACAAGCTGAAAGAAATTTATAAATTTATTATTTCAAATATATACAAGACTGCATCAAATTTTGAATAACTTTCCAAAATAAAAATGTGTATCAATTTATTATAAACATAAGAAAAGCTTTATACATAAGTTATTAACTACAATTAGAGGATTTGATCCCGGGATCTCGAAAATCGGGATTAAGTTTTCCTAATCCCGAGATTTTCGGGATTGACATCATTTTAAAAAAAGTTGCAAAATAGACTGCATGAAGCGAAACGTTCAGTGCCAGTGCTTTTAACAGAATTGCTTGCCTATCATTTTAATATAAAATACAAGAAATTTTATTCCAAGCAAGCAGCAGAAATTAACCTAGCGGGCTTGCGATGCTTGCTTGGAATAAAACTTCTTGTATTTTCAACTAAAATGATAGGCAAGCAGTTCTCACTGGGTTACTTGGTAATATACTTCATTTTTGTATTTTTGAATTTTCGCGGGCGCCAATCGATTTTCTGGCGCAGTCGAGAGCACTACTCAGTGCGTTTTACCTGTCAATGTGTCAGCCATCTTGTTTTGCCAGTGTGGTTAATATAGACCCGACGCCTCTCGCTTAGGGGGGTCGACCTTAGGTGAAAAGGTTACGACCCTCGCCTTGCCCGCGATCTGTCAGGATGATGCGAGAAAGTCTTTTTACGTTTCGGGGTAGTGGTTTGCTGGACGCTGAGAGACTCACACAGAGACCGAATTTACAAAATTAACGCGTTTATTTTTAGAAAGACATGCTTACAATGATCGAAACAATCGGGATTGTAGCCTTTACTCCTACAATCCCGATCCGTGTCGACCGGACTGTTTTCTTCCATCCTCCCCGTGTCCTCGAAGCTTATAAGTATTTACTAACGATTCCTCCAACTTCCATCAAACCTAAACGCGTTTTCTCAGCAGCTGCATATATGTGCAACAAATTGAGAAGCAGACTTGGTGATGAGACACTGGATGCGTTGTTATTTCTCAGATCATATTTTCGCAATTCAAATTAGAATGTTCCTATTAGATTAGTTTTCTTTATATTTAAGAAAAATGTGACTGATTAATATTATTTTTAAATACTTTTTGCTAAGAAACTTACTTTACTACCTACTTACTAGGTTGTTATATGAAAGTAGTCTATTTAGTCGATGTTAAGAGAGATTTTTGTGAATTTTCAACGTTTATTTGCATAGTTTGTTACATAAAGGTTTTTTCAATTTATGTGAGTTTAAAGAGATCTCAGTGATGCTTAAAAAAGAATAAATTTAACATGAAGACAGTGATTTTAAGTCTGGTTAGTCTGACTGTAAGTCTGATTAATTAGAGTGATTAAATTAACTAGGTGTATACCGTAAAATACGTTGATTTTTGTCTAAATTTTGATTTTTGATTTCTGTAAGATTTTCTTATTTTTTATTAACCCTCAATACCGAAATAATCCCGGGATCCCGGGATTGAATAAGTATAATCCCGAAATCCCGGGATTAGAAATAAGGACCGGGATCGAATTCCCTAACTACAATGTATTTTAATTCTTTGGATTAAAGTTTATTTAGAAAATAATTTATTTTGTTTACATTAACTCTGTTATATTAACAAAATTCTTTATATTTACATTAAATTTTGTGCCAAACTCATATTGCCATGCATTGTTATGTAATTTATTCAATTAGAAATTTTAATTGTTTCATTTAATTTGATACATTGTGATAATCAATTGAATAATCAAATTGCAAAATCATAATTATTATTAGCAATCTATGTTACTTCTATGAAATATAATCTCTCTACCAGGAGGTATTGGAATATTTTCTCCTCTAAACCATGAAGTAACATTGCTTCGATTTCTGAAAGTAATTTCAATAATCATAATCAAATATAATTGATTAAAATTTTTTAATTTAAAATAAATAAATTACCTTAATAAATTATTCATTTTCACTACTTTTATACAATCCACAAATAAATTTGTATTATTACTGAATTCTGATCTTATTCTAAACCATTTAAATCTTACAGAAGCTGAAAGGTCGATATCAAAAGAATTGGTTATTAAGTAAGTGTAACGGCCACCAGGTTCAAATAATTCAAAACTAGAAAAATAATAAATACAAATTTATATTCAAAAATAATTACTTAGAATAAATGTTTTTAATATTTTTACTATTTGTCAAGATGTTTTAAAATGTTGTGATCTTGGCCTTCAAATAATAATGTTAATTTTCCATGTTGAGTTATGTTTTCATTGTTTGATGTTTTCACTGTCACTTGATAATGAAACACTAAAATTATTTCATAATTTTTATAATTAATTTATTTAATTAAATGTAAATAAATATAATGAATAATTTAAATTCTATTTTTAATACTTACAACAAGAAGGATAATCAAAATTTGTTTCTAGATAAAACTCTTGAGTATTGTTTTCCATTCTTGGAATGTATTCATCTGCATTTATTCCCATAATTGCACATTTTTTGCCATCTTCTCCACAGTCTGCACAGTCTCCACTCATAAAAGAATAATAATCATCACACTTGTGGCCAATCATCAAACATTGCTCTGCCAATATGGATTCAGTAAAATATTGTGGAGCTGTATTGTGACTACAGCCATCTAAAACCACTAAATTAAGAAGTATTTTATAAATTTCACATTGTTAATATATATAAAAATAAATAAAAATTAATTTATGTCTTTACATTCATTATGTTTTCTATTTTCAATTTGTGAAAGAATGTCATCTGCACAAGACTTTTGTGCTCTTCCTCCATTGACATAAAAATAAACATGACCAACAGGTCTAGCAAGACTGTAACCTATTTGAAAATGTTAAAAACAATTTTATACATTTAACATTCAGCAAAACAAACGTTAATGAATTAATGAAAATTTATATATATTGCTTTATTTAGTACAAAACATTATAAAATAACAGTATGTCATATATAGATGTATATAATCATTTATTTTAAAAAGTTATATGTAAATTAAAGTAATGAATGAAATTCATTAGAAAAGTATTTCACAAGACTAACAAATAATATCTTCAACATTTTTCTTATATTAAAAATTTCCCAAAACCAATATCAATATCTTTACTTGAAGTTGCAAGTAATACAATAGCATTGTTTCCTGTTTCCACCAATCACAAAGACTTGCATGATTTTATTGGAATATACAGTAATTTATTTCATCTATTGTTTCAGTAAAATCTTGGAAATCTTTCTGATTAGTGTAAAAAGGAAACTAAACTATTATATTACTTGCAAGTTCAAATAAGGATATTATAAGTTACCATCATCTACAATGAATGTTACAATATCAATGTAATAAAATCTGAATAATTCATCTATCTAAATCAGTGTTTCTCTACGGGGCGATATCGCCCCCATGTGGGCGTTTTTCTATGTTGAGGGGGCGATTAGTAACAATTTATATTTTGGGGGGCGAAAATCAATTTTCTGGGCGATATAGTAAAACATTATATTAAGAATAATTAGGTATTTTATTCGTTATATCGTACAATAATTAAACAAATAACATTATACTAGTCACTAGTCTATTCAATGCAATGCGAATTTGGCGTTAGCCTTGTCCCTCGGTATCGAAATTTTGTAGTGAAAAGGGCGATACTACGTAACGGTTTTATTGAAGGGGGCGACGATTCGTTAGAGGTTGAGAAACACTGATCTAAATGCTATTAATCATTTTATCTAAAATGATTAATAGCATTTAGAACATGAAAATCATAAAAATTTAAAAATCAAATGTAGAGATAGTTTAAAAACTTGACCTGTTCCTTCAGAAGTTATATCAATACTGAACAAATTTTATGAAATATAATAAAATAATTGATATCATCAGTGATCAGAAAGTTATTCTATCTATTTAACACTGATACAGCTAATGAAAAAAATAATAATAATAAGATGTAAGAATGATTTTAGAAACTGGTGAATATTTCAACTTCCATTAAATACTGTATACAAAACTATTCAATTATCCTTTGTAGTTATCATTAATGAAGCTTTCAACATAATGAATAATTTGAAAAAAGAAATACAGTCAGTAGTCACACTTATAGCAATTTTAATGACAACCAGTCTAAGTGAAAATTATTGTTGAGTTAATTTGATTCTGGCCTTTATACAAAACTTTTCCTTTGTAATTAACTTTTTTAATACTGTACTACTATGCCCACCGGTGGCCTAGCGGTTCCGTCGCTAAACACTGGTAGTTCTGTCGTGGGTTCGCGCCGCGTTCGGACTGGCTGGCTACGTTGAGTTTTCCGAATCTTCTCCACGTTTGTAACACCTGAATAGGTGCCAGTTTCCCTTACAAGACCTCCCCGGAAGGCATTCTTTCCCCTCGCGTAACATCGCGCTCCGAAGAAGGCAACGGGGAACCACTCTGGATGTAACTTTCCCCCAGGATACACCTCGGCGCGTACTAACCACTTATTAATTACATTGCACCGGGTGCTCACCGACATCGGGATTCTGATATGGCACCTAGAGAGAGAATACTACTACATTATATTTAATTTCAATAGTGAAAAGACAGTATTAAAAAATGTAATTAATAATAATAGAGTAAGAAGCTAATTGCAATAAGAAGTAAATACTGGTATCTTCCTTTAATTATTACTGAAAGCCACGAAAACAAATAATAAAGTGCATTTAATTCAGAAATAAAATAATCCTATTATATTTTTAAAATATGAAATAATTTTTGCAGAAATTGATAAATTTAGTAAATTTCATATTACTTTGAAATTATATGATTTCTATTAATTTGACAAATAATTTCAAAATATATTTTACTTGTAAAAAACCTGTTTTATCAATTAATAAAAGGATTTTAAAATATAAAACATGTTTTGTAAAAGCAAGTTCTTTTACAAAAGTAAATAGTATTTTTTCAATAAATAATACAGCATAAAAACATCAATATTCATATGCTTTGTACGGGCATCTGTTAAAAATGTCTACCTCCTGCGTTTGTTACTATTACATCAACGAAATCAGCATCTGTATGATGAATCCGATGTTCCGGAGAAAAGAAAATAAAACATGGACCAGCAGGATCCAACGCTGCAAAACAATAAAAAAACATGTGTAAATGAAAAGTTAAAAAATTTCTAAATAATTAGGATATAAAATTCATACACGTGATTCTGCCCACTTTATTCAAGTTTTTTCCGGCGAATGCTACCACTTGGCCTCCTAAACTGAAACCAATTAAGTGAAAGCGATTTAAAGATGTATTTGTTTCTCTCTATTTAAAAAACAAAATTAATCAGGATCAACAATTAGAAGCTTGCAGTTGTTTATATAAAAAATATTAAAATTCCACGTACAACAAGGAGATTGATCGTCTTCGCAATTTCTTTCCCGGTGGCATAAGCATGAGCTATTGCATATGGAGCATAAAATTGGTTAGCGCCGTATTTCCAGTCAACTATTATAACATTATAGTCATATTTTTGAAGGAAACCTGATTTCATATACTGAAAAAATTGTATTGTAAAACGTAATAAATAATAATTGGTATATTGTGTTGATATTTACATTTTTTGTATTTCAAAGAATGTGAACAATAAAATTATTTTAACAATATCATTAAAAATACCAAAAAGTTTTTTAAAATCTTTTTTCTACTCTGCAGGTACTAAGCAAGCCTTTTTACGCCATAGTGAATTCGGCCGTATTTACAATGGGACGGGCAAATGGTGGGATTTTTAAATAGGATTCGACGTATTCTATCTAAAAATTTTGTAAGTTCGGATCGAGATTTCAATCCGGTTCTCTAGAGCAGTGTTTTTCAACCTGTAGGTCGCAAAGCCATACACGGGGGTCGCGAGTAAAAGAAAAAGACAAGTGTTTTTAGGTCCTACACTACAATAAAAAAAACTACAATTTCAGTGAGAACGCTGTGCCTGTTTATTTTACAGTACAATTAGTTTTTCGATCGATATTTAGTTCTCAACAGAAAGAAAATTAAATACTGTAAAAGAAAATCACTGACATAGTTTTAATATGGCCGTGGGGGGTCGCCAGAATTTTTTAACTTGTAAAGGGGTCGCGTATTCAAGAAGGTTGAAAAACACTGCTCTAGAGTAAAGGCTAACTTCTTTACCGCCTCAACCATGCAACCTTTATAGAAAATAATACTTAATTAAAAGGAAGCTTAATTACCTTTTTGAGGGCCCGATGCTCACCAGTGGCCAAATGGATAAAATCACTGAACACTGATGGCCGGATAGCCAAGAGGTTAAGGTGGCAGTCTACTGCTCTGGGGGTCGAAAAACTCCAGAATTTTTCAGAGGTGGTCCGTCCCTCACCACCTGACCGAACCCATAATGGATTTGCTAAAAAGGCCCTCTTAATGCCTACAGGACGGAAAGACTTTTAAAAAACTACTGAACACGATAGTTGGTTTGTGGTTTGGCGCCTCTTCAATGTGCTGGCCGCATGGAGTTTTCCGGATTTTTTTCGCCTGTCTAACATCTAAATAAAGACTAGTGTCCCATAAAATAGCTCTCGGGAGACATCCCTTTGCAGATCGTCTGTATGACATTGCCTTAAACCAGTAATGAGCAACCTTTTCTGAATGTGGGCCGAAAGTAAACTTTGTAGGCTTCCGTTGAGCCACATACATTTTTTTATATGAAGTTGCAGGCATTAAGTCTGACAGTACCAATACAATCAATAACCAGCAATACACTAGATACTAAAATAACAAATGCTAATGATATGCAAACTTTTGTTAGTAATACATGATGAGTAAAAAGTACTCATCATGTATGAATAGTAACGAATAGTATATTCGTTGTATGTAAGTAACGAATAGTATATTCGAATAGTATGAATAGTAACGAATAGTATATGTAACGAATAGTATATTCGGCCTCAGGCCGAATACCGAATAGTAACCGAATATTCGTTACATCAGTAGTAAAAAGTCTTTTGCGTCCCTTTCATTTCAAAAGAACAGGAGATTTTTTTAAATTTTATTAAAGTAATTACATAGGAAGTCATGCATGGAGAATTGGAAGGGGATCTGTTGTTGATCTTGAAAATGATTTTCAAGGTCATGTACCAGTACAACTCGTTTTACCTCTCATAAACTTAAAGTTGCAAAAAATGCAGTCTTAAACGTATTTATTTGAATTTAGAAAATAGTTTTAGACTAATTGACTTGTGCTCTTTAACTTTATCAATGGAACTTTTACGTTATTTCCTATTCCTATTAAAAAGTTACAACATAAGTGTCCCTGAAAGTAAATTTCGAGGTCAACAAAAGTTCTATCCGTTCTCCATGTATGACTTCCTACGTAATTAAATTAACAAAATTAATATATCTTCAGTACTTTTAGAATGAAAAAGGTACAAAAGACGGATCGAAAAACTTCAGGATTTTTTCATGGATGGTCTGAATATGTCGAGACCTGTCTCCGACCACCCTGCCGCCTCCATTATGGACCTGGCGCATTGATGTCGTCGCCACATTGTAGGCCTGGCAACGATGAGTATGATTAAAATAGGCCCTATTAGTAATTAGAGGACGGAATTAAATCAAAAACAAACAAAAATTAAACTAATGCGAATGAAAACAATTCGGATGCTATTTATGTTACCAACTTCTAGTGAGGAGAAAGGGAAGGTTTAAAAAAAGCACAACCCCTAGTTAAATTTTCAGAACATTTCAGAACAGTTTTCATTTTCCAAAAATTTAAAAAAATAACGGTAATTCCGAACCGTTGGTAACTTTTAAAACCGTCCTGATTGTAGTCCTGGCGAAACCCACGATGGGTCCATTTAGTGTCCACAGTGCGGAAAGTCAAAGATAAACAAAACTTATAATTGTTTATATGATTTATTTAATTTATAAATCATATAAATTATATTAAAATGTATATTATGAATGTCAATAAATTAGACATTTCTGACTTCATGGACATCTAATATTATTATTATTAAAATAAAATTTACTTACCAAACCCCAGTAACTATCAGGAGACGAACGATATCCATGAACAAGAAAAATTGTTTTATGATTTGGATTATAATTCGTTTGATGAATATCTGTTTCATTATTAATTATTTGATAATTTTCTGGATTTAATTTAGTATACAAACGATATTCGACATAATCTGCATTAGTGTTTTTGGCTATTGTAAACACTACTGATTCAAGAAGTGGACAGGTGGATTTATCTAGCAAAATTTATAAAATATTTTTAACACTTGACACAATAATGTAAAAAATTATCTAGTTTTATAAATTATAATTAAAATAAGAAAACATTATAGTTACTTTTCAAAACATTTAAATCAATATAAAAACTTACCAATTGGTCGTACGTAAGGATCATCAGCATTAGAAAAAAATGCAATCATGCTTAAGATGTAAATGCCGAATTGTATCATTTCGATAATGTAATTTTATTCAATTACGAATTTAAAATATTAAATTAATTCAGTTTCATATAGCTTATACAAAACCTTAACAACTGGCAATGATTGGTGAATGTTGAATATATATATAGTTAATTCTTATAGGAACAAGTGTTATATCAATAATAACAAAACGTGCTTTCCATTTAATTAAATTCGACTTTTATCATTCTTGTTACACAATTAACTAAATATATCAATTTACTTCCGCTTTAAGATTATATGTTGTATTTTATTTTCTATTTAAATAATAATATAAGTGTTTATTTTTAAAATATTTCAAATTACGCAAATTGTTTTTATCAGCACCTTTACACTATTTTAAAAATACAAATAGCAGTTATAATAATAATTTGTTTACAGATGTAAAGAGTTACATGCTACATTAGTTGTAAAACTGTGTTATCATTTTGGAAATTAACGGATATCCTGTGACTAATAGTTTCAATTAAGAAGATAATTAGTTTTATCTCATTTATAACTATATCCTATGTCGTTTTTTGCTTTAGTAATTGATAATGAAACTACTTGTAAATATGAGCAAATGTCAAACAACTTAAATCACTTTAATTAATATCATACAAAGTTTTTTGTAGAATTATTTCACAGATATGTTATCAAATGGCAAATACAATAATAATGCTGACTATTGTATTTGCCATTTGTTTATAATACTGTAATTTATCTGACTATAATTAATGACTATAGTCTACTTATTTCGAGATAAGACATTTATGATAGAATTAAGTAATCCTATCATAAATATGTCTAGTGTAGAAATAGTAACGATAAAAAAATAACTTTTCTAAAAAATTCAATAAACGAAACTTTTTGATTCCCTCTTATAGGCAGAGATTTACTGTATTTATTTATTATCGTAAAGCAATATGGAAGAGAGAGAGAGAGAAAGAGAAAGAAGAAACTAAAGACCACCGAACGTTGAGAGCGTTTTCTTATAGTCGTTTTTTTAGAAATTTTACTGTTGCAAAGAATAAAGAAACAAATATACCTGTACAACTATATTTCTTCCCTCTCAATTGCACCAACCGCTTGAATTTTGCATGCATTCCACTCCTTTTGGGTGAGTGCACAATAATCAAGTAATTTTTCTGTTGGCATTCCTATTTTCGCATTAAACACATGCAAAAATTCCATGAAAAGAGCATTCGTTATCTATGATTTCTGATTGTTGCAGTACTGATAGGCAGTGTTCTCACTTCGACAAAACACCTTGGCTTTTCGTAACTTTGCAATTATGAGCAAAGAATACTTCTCCGAACCATCTTCATTCACAACAAACAACACCGTGATCCTTTCTTTACTATTATGACATTGTTCGCCCTTTAACGTAAAAGTTTTGTCTGGCATGATATTATAAACATGCCTGCCTTGTCCGCATTAAAGACGTCTTGTGATGCATACTTCTCAAGAATTTTAAAAGAAGCTGTTTTGTTTGTCACTTGTCAAACGTAACTTCGTCAACACTTTTTCTTTCTCTTGAAGTTATATTTTAGACTAAGCCTTTGCGTTCTTTAAATCTGTCGAACCAGCCATTTGAAGGCACAAAGTCTGGTATACAAAATCTTGACATCAAGTTTAATGGCTTGCTCTCATATGTGTGCCATTGATATTGATACAGGCAGTGTGTGCCTGACGTATCCAGTTTATCAATACCATCTCAAGTACTTGATGTTTTACCCCGCGGATTTTGCTTCTTTTCGCAAAAGAAGCGGCTCCTTTTTCGCCTTCCTTCAAAATTGTGTTTGTTCTTTGTTCTTTAAAATTCCGGTCACCAGGGCCGGATTAACCCACTTTGGGGCCCTAGACATTTTCTTCTTATTAGGCCCCCTCCCTCTCCCACAAGAAAAAGAGCACACAAAAATATAAAATAATAAATAAAACTAAACTAAATAATGTGAAAACTAATTTATTTTATATTTTTACAGTATAATTCAGTATACAGGTATTATTATTTTTATTAGTAATAGGAATTTATTATTGTCGTTTTGAACACCATATAGTGTGAATACACGAATAATAGGCAATCTTCATTTTAAATTTATTCAATTTTTAAAAACGACAAAAATAATCACAGACACGGTTTCAAGAACGTAAAATGAATTTATTATTTATACCACCGCTGCTACTACTGAAAAACTGGGCAGTCTCTGTCGGCGTATCGAGCGCCAGCTATGCAATTAATTATTTATCATTGCTGTGCATGCTAACTATTTAGTATGTCGTCCCGATGACTGCACCGGGCCATTCAACTGGCTATAATATAATGTAACAGGAAGATTAGAAGTACGAAATAATCTAATAATCTTAACCTTTGTTGTTATTTTTTGCCCGGGCAACGCCGGGCTCATCGTCTTGTAGTTAATATTATTCTTATCGCTATAAAAAATTTCTAAATTATCGGAAGAATTAATTTCAATACGAAGAAACATAACACATTTTCTTTAGATTTTAGAATTCACAATAACCATATAAAAAGCAATATATTTTTCTTTATTTGTTTATTATACATATACAGTTGTCCAACATAAAAGTAAACTATACTATCAATATTTACAAATCCTTTGAAAATAGACATTTTGACCGGGCCCTAGACATTTGTCTCATTTGTCTATGCGATGATCCGGCCCTGCCGGTCACTATCGTCAATGGCAAATTGTGATTCCTAGTAATGTCTGTTGGCTTATGCCTTTTGGCCTTTTATATAATGTCGATCTGGATAGCAAGAACACCAACTATGAACATTCTGTTCAATCACGACCTGCCTGGATATCCCTAATACGTACTTTCTGTTTCAAGATCGTGCCATTTCAGTCAGCAAAACAAGCCAAGCTCGAATAAAACGTGCGAGATTTGTTATAGAAGCACTATTACTATCTGTATTCGTATCGGTCTCCGCAGAAGCTAGAATTTTATCTTATAAGAGAAAAAGTATGCAATTCTTTTGTATTAACACACAAAGTATCTTTTGTTTTTTCAACCTTATGAATATTCTACTCGCGCGAAGAAAGAAAATATTTCGTTCATTCGATGGAACGTCTTACACAGTATATTACACTACAGTCTTTTCTGGAAGGTAGCCTTCTACTTTCGTTCAGGACCATCTAGTGGTGGGAAAAAATTTACGAGCTCCAATATGTTAAAATCGGGCGTAGCTATATAGCATTGAAAGGAATTGAGTCAAAATATACATTATTAGACAAATACGTGCCTCTGAAAACTACGTTATAAGCGAAATGCGCTACGTTGTAAAGGAGAAAATTGCAGAGCATTGGGAATGACGTTGTTGAGGAAATATGAATATTCTACTCTTACCGTTATAAAGCGATAATTTATAACGTGGTTATACTGTATATGAATGATGTTAAAAATTAACTTCATAAAAAGGAACTTTCATCAATAATATCTTTTATATTTTCAGTTCATTCATTCATGAAACAAAAATTAATCATTTTTATTTCAAGAAAGATCAGAATTTTACAGTAGAATTTTATCAAACATAAGTTATATTTCAATGTAAAGATCAGCTTTTTTTCTCAACTCTACGCCCTGTTTCAACTAAGAGGGCCTCTTTTTGCAAGCCCATTATGGGTTCAGCCAGGCCCACAATAGGGCTGCCGGGTGGTGAGGGACGGGGACCGACATATCCAAACGGACCACCGAGTTTTCGACCCGTTCGGATTCGAACCCGGGTCCCCCAGAGCGGTAGGCTGCCATCTTGACCCCTCCGCTATCCTGCCGCATAAAGATCAGCTTGACAAAGAATCAAAATTTCACAATAAATTCTTCCATTCTAAATGATTTCGTAGACAATAATTTTTATATATATTTTACATAATTTTAAAAAACATTTTTATTGATCACTTTTTGGAGGTTGGAGTGGTGTCAACCCTGACACCTACCATTTCAACTTCCAAAGTGATGTAATGGGTGTTGTCAACCCCACCACCGACTACATCACTATAGTATATTTTCATACATATATGATTAAATTTTACATTTGTTTATGTTTTTGGTTGGGTTTTTGGATGGGGCCACTCCCTGAAATCATCAAAATGTCATCTGAGATTCGAAAATACACAAAGCAAGTTAAATAAAAGCATTTAATAATAAAAATGTCAGCTAACAAATATCACCCTTTTAAAAGAGTTATTTTTACTCCAAAATATATTGCTAGTAACATGGTAATCCTAACAATGAATAACCTTTACTTCTGGTAGCAAACTTTAATAATTCGTTAAACGAACGATTTCGACCTTACCCAAGATCTGCTTCAGGTTAAGGCCCACCGTGGCCAAGCTGTCTTCGTACCTTAAACACTGGGAGTTCGGTCGTGGGTTCGCGCCTCGCTCCGACAGGCTGGCCACGTGGAGTTTTCTGGGTTTTCTCCACGTCTGTAACGCCTAAATAGGGACCAGTTTCTCTTAAAAAGATCTCTCCGAAGGCATCCCCCTAGGCAGATCGCCCAAGTGTTGCGTTGCCTTAACTTAACAAACAGCTTCAGGTTAAAGATCAATTTCAAAACTGAAATGCTAGGAATAGAACGTTTTTGAACATTAAATTCAAGATTAAATTCTCCAAGGGCCAGGGGCAACACCTCAATTACCCAAAGGGTTTCTGACGGAGCTCGGAATCACGACCCAATGCTGAATGCACTATAATAGAATACAACCAATACGTACATGCTTTATATAAGGAAATAGTGGGCATAATGGGTACCAAGCTGGTTTCATAAGGTTTCAATCAATATTGCTTTATTACAAAATACTTGATCATCTTAGAGCTCCAGGTATGTATAGTGTTCCAGTGAGGGACAACAGGTTCCAGAGAAACTTAGTTTACATTGGTTCCACCAAACATTCTGTACAACAAAGGGTGCTGGGACACAACTATGACATTGACAACAAAAGGCACACCACCGCTCTATCCACATATGCCACTGACCAGGAAGTGCATGCAGATCTTCCTAACACCAGGCTAATAAAACAGGCCTTTCATACTGACCATATTAGGGCCCTGAAGGCCCTAGAAACATGCAAGGCCAGCCTGACAGGCAAGTGCATCAATTTTAAGGACAGTAACACATTATCATATGCCTGACGTTACTTGTGTGAGAAGCATGGCAACACTAACGCACATTGAACTTATATTTACTAGCATGCTGCACCCTCAAATAATAAGTACACAGGGAGTGCATTATACATATATAGCAAACTCGTTAAGTCTTTGTTTTTTATATGTTCGAAATATTTTAAATTTAATGTTCAAAAACATTCTATCCCTAGCATTTTAGTTTTGGAATTGATCTATAACCTGAAGCAGACCTTGGGTAAAATCAAAAGCATTCATTTAACAAATGATTAAAGTTTTGTCACTAAAAGTAAAGGTTATTCATTGTTGTTATTAGTACCAGTGATTAAGTTAAAAGATATCTTTATATGGTAATCCAGAGGGAGGAAAATGGGGTATTTGCCCTCCCATGGAATTGAGTAAAAAATTCCACAAATTATAATCTTAAAAGTGAGATATGTAACCTTAGACCCTCAACCATGAAATGCTTTGATGCACTTTATTCTATAATCAATTTGAAAAAAATCCTCCCAAAAAAAATTGAATAAATTTATTGATGTAATTACTTGTCTTCAATCTTTGTCCCTGCTGATGCTCATATATTTAATTTTTTAATTTTGTAAAGATTTTGTATTTTAACATTTTAAGACTGTAAATTGCATTACAGTTTACACAAACCATTAATCAATGCTTTTGCCATTCCATTAAAATATTTCTTATAGTTAACCTACACTGTAAAATATTTTGCTTTATTTAGGAATGATCAATATACCAAGTCCTTGGCAGCCAGATGGCTGAAGCCTTACAAGCACTAGCATGCTATTCTTGAGATCCAGAGTTGAATCTGGATGAATAATCCGAAGAATTTTTCACAAATGGTTTTTCTCAGATAGGTTAGGCCTGTCCCTCAGCAGCTGGCTGCCTTCATTTTGAACCTGGTTAAATTCATAATAGACTTAGAAAATAGTCCTCTTAGTGCCCACAGAACAGAAAGAGAGAAAAATAAAACAATATACTAAGTTCATAAGTTTCCTTAAAATGTTAATTATTATAAAAATTTAAATATATTTTGAGGTTGAACTGAAATCTCTTAATGTATCCAAGAATAGTTTGATGTTAATTTAATTAGCTTCAATATTAGCTAATGCAGTTGAAGATTAAATATATATACAGTACAACATATTAAAATTTTAAGATAAAATTTTTACTGTACAAATTGCTAAATACATCAGAATAACAAAATCATACATTTTCAAATACTACAATGAATTATCTGCAAGATCTCGCTGATCAAAGTAATTTGCTACTAAACAGATGAGAAGGTTTAAAGCTATCAAGTTAGGATCTTCACAACTTGTCTGCAAAAAGAAATTATTTTCAGTATGATAGAGTTGAAAATTTATTACCTTTATATAGTTTAATAATAAATTGAAGATATATTTAAAGAACTGGCTTACAAGATTTGCCCTCAATTTACAACAAACTCTTGCCAAAGATCGTAAAGAAGAACAAGCTTCAGGTGTTAATGGCTTTTCTAGGCAGGCCAAAAGAGCATAAAACCAACGTCCCTAATAACATTATTGTTCATTAACCTTAAATATTTTATATAAGAAAAAGTTTAATTTATTGAACTGTATATACTTACCTGTTGTGGTGTAAAGCCTGTTACTTCTAACCAACTTATATGATAATTTAATACTTGTTCTATAAGCAGCTATAAAATAATAATATAAAAACTGAGATTTAAAACAAGAGAAATATTTGATTTAAAAACCTGAAAGTTTCTGAAACTAACTTGTGACATAGCACACACAATACTGAGCGATGGAAGAACACCAGTTTCTTTCAAATTTTTTTCAGAAAGTTTGTTATCTATTCCAGAAATACTTGTATTGCCATCATCAACTATTATGTTTCCAGGTTGAACATTACTTGCATGGCCACCAAAACATAGTTGACACCAACCAATATCATCATCTATTTTCGGCTAAAGATATTAAAATAAATTTGATATAATTTAAATTAAATTGTCTTAGATATTTGTATTATTAATTAAACTTGAATATTTTCTATTATGATAAATTCAGACAATGCCTTCAATTAAATTTCAGAAAAATAAAATGATTACATGTAAAAGTTATTTTTTTTATAGTTTAATGCTTTTGATCTTCACAAGAGTTATTTGATATACTTATTTATCTGTCAAAATTACTTCTAATGACAAATAAGGAAAATTCAAAAGAATATGTTATAAATAATGTTAAATTCTTTATACAATCATTTATTCACTTATTTTTTGTTAAGTTGAATCAGAAAATAACTTCATATATCTCTATTTCAGATACCAAACTCATAATATCCAAAAATAAATTTAATCTTATTCCATAGAAGAATTGTTGAAAAAAATAATAATAATAATAATATAGTCTATAATTATAGTACAGTCTATGTGAAGAAGGTACCTAATAACATGGCTATCAGTATTTGACAATGGTCCATTATTTTAGATGTGAAGTTTATGTCAAATGCCTTAAACCTGAAACATCCGAAATATATACAGTCAAATTTCATTAACTCAAACTTAGTTAATTCAAATTTTTGGATAATTTGAATTATACAAATTCCCCTTGAGTTTCCTATTAAATGTAATGTAAAAATTACTTGTTTAATTCAAATTTTAAAAAATAATTTTTGGATTATTCAAAGCTAGAACATCCTCATATTTCAGAAATTACCAGAGTTTAGAAATTTGAAGCTGGAGTAACTTAGTTCATACTGAGCAAGTAGCAAATTCAAAAAGTAAAAAAAATACAAAACTGGTCTAAACTGAAAAAAGTGATTGCAAATATTCAGCAGCCAATCATTTACAAATATGAGAGAAACATCATCGACAAAAACAAAACATTTCCAACATCTCATCTTAAAAACTACTAGAAACACAACACAACAAATGGCAATGTAATATGTGGCAAAATATTTCTGCTAGCAAAACAGCTCAACAGTTTTGAACTTCTGAGTGCTATGCAAAATGGTAAAATTCACCAGAAATGACTTTATTTATGATGTATTATTCACTCTGTTTTTTTGCTATCACCGGTGATTCATTCTCAGTGCGAATTAAGCTGGACGAGAAAATGTGATAACCAAAGAAATTACACTGTATATGTATTACTTAATAATTAGCAATGAAATTGTTTAATTAAAATTTTGGATAATTTAATTATTTTGCATTCCCCTTGAACTTTGAATTAACCAAATTTGACTGAATTTACATAATTTTTCTAAGCCTCTAAATGTTTATAAATTTTTCAATTTTTATAATGCTTTCATATACATATAAAAATATATATTAACTAGCAGGTGGGCCCGGTGTTGCTCGGGCAAAAGTAAAGCTAAGATAAAGATTATTACGTTACAGTCAACCTTACCCGTTTTCACAGAATGTTAGAATTGGGCCCCCTTGTTTCCAGACTAATTAGAGAATTTTTAGATGGGTCTAAAAATATGTTTGATTTCTTGCAAAAAAGCAAAAAACTGCATCTGCGTCTTGCACGTCGCTTTCTCTTAACAATTCCATTGTTACGTAACATTTCCATTGTTGACACTTCCATTGTTACGTAACATTTCCATTGTTGACACTTCCATTGTTACGTAACATTTCCATTGTTGACACTTCCATTGTTACTTAACACTTCCATTGTTGATGGAAGTGTTAAGCCTTAATCCTGTTCCTCTCCCCGTGGGGAGGAATTTTGAAAAATCCCTTCTTAATGTGCGTTTTCATGACGTATCCTATCTGTGTACCAAATTTCAACTTTCAACGCCTAACCGTTTGGGCTCTGCTCTGATTATTAATTATTATCATCATCAACCCGTCTCGATTATATATTAGATAGCATTATATAATATATTTTTAATGTAATTAACATTATTTTCTGCATTGTTCATTAATATTAAACTCTGCTAATATTAAAAAAATTATTTTCATCTAAATAACATGTTTAAGTATTTTTTTTTATTCTGATGAAACCGTGTTGTTGATTTTATCTTGCTTCTTTACAGACACTACAGGCTTCATTCAGCCAACTGAATAAAGTGGTGAATAATCTGCCAAGTGTTGAATAATGTCACCTTAGTGTGTCTGTAAAGAAGCAAGAAAAAATGTTTAAGTATATAACAAACTTCATATTTAGAAACTGAATAAGTAAATATGTGTATTCTTCAACCACTAACCAGCGTGAAAATTTCAAACTAATATTGGCAAACACTTTCGATGCCCCTCCTGGGCTCTTCTTCAGGCCAAATTTAATGTACTGGATTCTTAATTCGAATATTTTTAAATAAGAACGTGCTCTGTTACTAGAAGCAATGCATGATCAGAAATTCTTTCCTGAAGCAGCAATGTACACAGAAACAGCTAATCTCTAGTGCAGGCTTGCAAAGAAATTATGGCTGGGAATACGCCTCATCAGATATTGTCCCGCATACAAGCGCTGTGCGACTGGCCCACTACAATCTGCATATCAGCCAATCTGTAAACCAAATGCATATCAGCCAACTCTGTGTCCTTGTGCAAAATGACGATTCCCTGCAAGAATGCTCAGAACTTTTGTGCAACACCATCTACCGCTTCAGGAAAGCATTTCTGACTCTGCACTGTTATATGATTCCAAGTTGTCAGGATGCACCCTACCCCTCTTAGAAGTTCTGAAATATTTAATTGAGACACCCCTTATATATGCACATATTAATTCCTTCAATTTTCATGTCAATTATTAATTTTCAATAATGAACTTTTAATCAAGCAATTTTTAATATATATTTTCCAGAGAAAACATACAAGTGGCATATAAAAAAATTTTAACTCTTAAAAAACAAAAATAAATTCTGATCAGAAATTTAGCTAAAATATATTTTTGAATCATTATATAATAAAAAAAATTATGAAATTCATAAAATTTACAGATAATTTAATAGAGAGGTTGAGGCGCACGTTTTAAACGTGTAAACGTGTACGTGTGATGTTCGGCGCCGCTTTCCCGTAAGCCTAAAAGTTTGACGATGGTGTTTGGAATGTCGAGCGTGATTCCACCGACTATCCAAACACCATTGTCAAACTTTTAGGCTTACGGGAAAGCGGCGCCGAACGTCACACGTACACGTTTACACGTTTAAAACGTGCGCCTCAACCTCTCTAATTTTATAAAAGATTTTATTATAAGGAAATTATACTTACTAATATAGTTTTTAGCTTTATATTCTTTTCTTCTAAATTCTTTTTATATTTTGATAATTTCTGAAAAGTAAATATATAATAATAATAAATACTGTAACTGAAAAATTCATAAAATTAAATTATTTTTGATAAAAAAAGTTCAACTTAATCATTAAAGAATAAACAATTTTATTAAAATTATAAAGATACAACCAACAATTGCCTGAATGATTGAGCTAGAATTTGGCTAATTAAATGATTAATATTAAGCAATTTGTCACTAGAGGAAGGTGTTAGACACCACTTCTTGATTAAATTAATAATTATAATTTTAATAATCTATTAATGAATTTAGAACCTTCTGGAATAAAAGAACTGACCCAGGGTGGGGCTTCAACCTGCAACCTTTGCTTGCCACGCTGTTCGCTTGCCAGTTGCACCACTCAGATTTTAATTTGTTTAAATGAATTTAAACTAATCATTTAATTAGCCAAATTCTAGGCTGATTATTCAGGAGATCATTGGTTGTATCTACATACACTTATCAGGCTTTAAGATGTCTATTATATAAAAGTATAAAGTTAAAAAAAAATTAATGATTCAATTTTGTTTCATTGAAAAAGTGTTTGATTATTTAAACACACTTAAATACTTAAATTCAAATTCTATTTTGAAATTTCAGAAATATTCAGTGAACTTTTATGTGAAATAGTAATTACATTTATATATCTATCTGGACAGGCTGATAATTTTTGTAGGCATGCTGTAATAATATTCAATGTTTGAATAATGAGTAATAACTTTAACAAACAATGTTAAATAATCAAAAATAAATATAAATTCTTTATTAATAACAAAACAGTTTAAAAACTTTATCATATTTGATTTCATTTAGATGAATATGTTTTTATTCCTTTGAATTATAAATTTTTTTTATAAAACTTTAATAAAAGGTACAAATCAGAAATTATTTTATACCAAAATTAATGTATTTCTGCTGAGAACATTAGGACATAACTCTGAAAATGCTATTTTGAGATAGCTTCTTTCATTATTTTTGTCAAAACAATAGTTCAGTATGAATGAAAGATTTCAATCTTGATTTCAATCTTTCATTCATACTGAACTATTTGAGTTATCAAGCAAATACTTCACAAAACTAGACAATGAAACAATACGTTACCACAGTACCATTATCTAGTCCAGCGATTTTATTTCTCTGAAAAATATTTCATAAATATTTATAATTTAATTATGTCAATCATCTAGGCACATCTGATTGGAGATTTTGAAGTTTTTAAATACATCATGTTCTTTAGACTTTTCCATTTTTAAATAATACCTGAAGATCTTAGGATACGATCAAAAACATTTATTTTACAGAGAAATAAAGTTGCTGAACTAGATAAAGAAACAGTGGTTATATATTTAAGTTATGAGTTATCCAATTGATTTTTTTTGTTTCTAGCTACAAATTGATTACTTTTTCTTCTCTTTCAAGTTAGTACATAATTTTTTAAATTTTAGTTACATCACTAGAGCATAAAAATATGAATAAGATTTGAAGATTTTTGTGATGGAATAATGACATAATACATACAAGGTGCATTCCGTAAGTAATGCAACCAGATTCATAAAAAAATCATTTATTGAACATATTCTTACAATTAGTCAAAAATATTCGAAATAGAAACCTCCTGCATCAATACACTTGTGAAGGCAGTGTTTCCAGGCCTGGAAGGCATTCTAGAAGGCCTTCTTTGGAATGTCCTTTAGAGATGATGTAACATAACCCTTGATGTTTTCAATTGTGTCCCAATGTTTCTCTTTCATGGCCCCTTTTAAGCAAAGAAAGAAAGAAAAAAAAAGTCAGCGGGAGCCAGGTCAGGACTGTAAGATAGCTGTGGAACCAATGGGGTGTGGGTCCTGGCCAGGAAATCATTGACAATGAAGGCGCTGTGGCTTGGCACATTGTCATGATGAAGTTTCCAAGTGTCCTTGATGTCACTTCGGCAACGCACAATCCTCCTTTTCAGTCTTTTGAGCACTTCCAAGTAGAAAGCTGCATTTACAGTGGTCCTGGCAGGTTCGAATTCATGATGGATAATGCCTCTGACATCAAAAAAGACAATGAGCAAGGTTTTGATCCTGGACCTTCTTGGGACGGGGCAACTTGTGCCATCAGAAAACTTGTGATTTGGACAAGCAATCACTCCCAAAGGCCTGCTGAATTAATGTAAAGGTTTCGGTAGCAGACTTTCCAAATTTAATGCAAAATTTGATAGCGTAACGTTGCTCCACAAAATGCTCCATTGCGTTGTGTTACATTAACTCAAAACGGGATTCACGGGAATGAACGTCCTCACCCACCCCATTGGAAGCAAATGAGACCGAGCGAGTTTTGAAGCTAACACCCCATGCCATCTAGTGCAGCAGGTTAGAACTAGACACGACTATCATCGCGTCATGAAAAAATTGGTCACATTACTTATGGAATGCACCTTGTATATTTTACTAAATGATTGAGTGTCTCATTGTGCACATAACTCAAAATTGACAATTTTGGAGTTTTGTCACTAATATTCTCAGCAGAGAATATAAAATAATTCATGTTATAATTCTTCTTATTGAATAGTAAACAATAAAGTTAGTAAAATTACAGAAAGGATATAAATTAAAAGTATAAACTTTTTTCATTTGAAAATTTTATCACTCTTATGAATTTGTATATTTTTATAAAATACTTTCTATTATCTATATGTATAAAAATGAATGTGTGTGTGTGTGTGTGTGTGTTCATCCTTCATGCATTACCACACCATTTATCTGATTGCCGCGAAACTTTGAGAAATTGTTTAATATACTCCCTTGAAGGTTTCTGGCGTAGTACGATTGCCATGAAGCTTTGGGAAGTTTTTTAATACACTCCCTTCCGA